AAAAAAAAATTCAGAGAAAAAAATACTAAAACTGTTACCAAAATTTAAAGAAAAAACTGTGTATTTGATGACCACAGTAAGCTATATAGCCCCAGCTAGGTATCATTTTATAGTATGTTCATTCTACTCACTGAGGTTTGTGCCTAAAGTCAGACATGAGTTCTTGTGCATGTAAATATCAGCTGTGCTTGCTATTGCAAATATTTAGACAAATTAAGTTCATTAGCAAATCAATTAAATGGGGGGGATAGGCATAGAAAAGCAAACAGGGATAACAGACAATGGGAGGAGGGTTGGACAGGGCAGAGGGTTAGGGATAGGGAATCAAGGATGGCAAAAAAAGAGAAGAAACTCAAAATATACAAGACATAAGAAATGGAAAATTGTTTGTTGATAACACATATGTTGATGTACTTGATTGAGCCAACAGACAATGTATTTTGGATGAAAAATTCATTTTGTATACTGTAATGATGTATAGCATATTAATGTTAAAAAATAAAAACAAAAACAAAAAAAAACAAAAAAACAAACAAACAAACAAAAAGAAATAGGGGGAAAAGTACATATACAAAAAACCAAAAAATGGAAAATGATTTGTTGACAATAACATATATGATTAAGCCACTTTACAGTGTATTCTGGATGGGAAAATCACATTTTGTATGCTGTAGTGATGTTCAGTGAAAGAATGTAAAATAAATAAATTAGTAAAAAAAAAGATTTAGGGGTAAGTGTTTTCATTATCTATACTCTCTCGATCCCCTTTCCAACAATTAATAACTTATCTGTGACATAAATAGTATTTTTTTTTTACAACATGTCAGTAACTTTGATATTTTAGTATCAAGTAAATATGCCAAACTGCTATTCAGGAATCTATTAAAATAACATTATACATGTTATTACATAACATAATATTATGGACAAGACATGTGTTTGGGAATCAACTTCCATTTCAGTCTTGCTATCTGAGTGACGTTATGGAACAGAAGTACTTTATCAGGAGTACCAGAACAGAACCAATGTGTCTACTTCAAATTACAGAGTTCAGTAAGACCACTCAGGACATGGGCTTCACAAACTGTCAAGTGCTATAGAATATCAATCTTTAAGTTGATTAGTCTCATGAGAATGTATGTGGTAGAAAGCTCACCTTGGTTTGAATCATGCCAAAACGCTGCTCTCTCATTTGAGTCACTATATCCATGATGTTGAACTGTAACAAGATGACAGTAATTTTGTATTATCCATGCAGAGGGAAAAACACAAACCCACCGATTGCCAAATGAGTGCTCCAAAACTCCTTCCAGTAAAAGAGATGTCGAGATTTACAGAAAGTTTTCATTTCAGTCACAAGAAAGTGCTATTTTAACTAGTCCAATGGATAGAGAAAATGTTTTAATAGGTGTTGAAGAGAAAGCAGGAAGCAATCATTTATAAAATGAATGCTCTCCCAAAGAAACAACAGCAAATTGCATAAACTTGGTCATCCAACAGGAGAACTAAGCAGCACTGTCCTAGAAAAGCACGAACTTTGGCCACAACAGTAGTGTAGCTGTTTCTCATATGAAAGTCCCTGTCAGGTCCAATGGAGACCTAAGCAACAATCAGGCCAGGCCAGATTCTGCACCTGCATGTGGAGACCCACACCACTGGATGTGGCTTCCACTGTGGCGTGGGTCCATAATGAGATGAGTCCAGAAACTCAGGGTAAGTGTTTAGAAGTTCTTACGGCAGTCTGACACTGGCGGGCATGAGGGAGCGTGAGCAGCTGAACGAGATACAGGCCAGCTTGCACACTGCTGAATCTGTCTACAGAGTCACACTGGTGTGTGCTGGTCACTGGCTGTGTGCAGCAAGACCACAGTATTTAAGGTTCATCAAGTAACACAAATCAGTATTTAAGGTTGATCAAATAACTCAAAAACATGAAAATCAGAAAAACTTTAGCATTTCTTTAATTTAATTTAATTTTTCTAGAGTTTTTCTATAGGGTGCAAGTGCTCATTAGAAAGACACAGGGAAACAGAAAGCGAGAAATCACCTCCTAGGAGGGAAGGCCATGCACCAATCACTTCTCCATTTTCCTTTCAGGATTTTGGGCAACCACACATAAGCAGTCAGTGTGAGTTTTAAGCTGCCAGGTCCAGGACTTGAACTGTGGTCAGCCATGTGGGAGTCCAGAAATGTAATCATCACACTATCTACTAGTCCCTGCATTCCTTTATTTTTATAACTTGTCATTTAATAAAACAATTTAATTTTAATTAAGCCTCTTAAATAAACTTTTTTTTATTTTGTAATATAGATACAAAGGAAGTCATACAGGGAAGTCCTGGGTCTGCTTCACCAGTTTCCTCAATACCATCCTAGATAACATAGTGTAATGTCAAAATCAGGAAACTGGCATTGGGACAATCCACATCACTTACTCAGATTTAACTCGCTTTTACATAAAGTTGTGTATATGTGTGTGTGTGCATGTAGTTGTGCATATGTGTGTACATGCACATGTGTGTGTGTATGTTTGGTTCTATGCAATTTTATCACATGTGAAGATTCACATAACCACAACTATAGTCAAGATACAGTGATCCACCATAAGACTTGCTCAGACCATCCCTTTAGAGCTGTACCCACACACCTTTGACAACCAGTATTCTGTATTTTATCTCTATAGTGCTGTTATCTGAAAGAAGTTTTATGAGTTCACTCATACAACTAGTTTGTTTAAATAGCATGCATCTTCTTGCTGAAGAACAGATGGGTTATTTATAATTTGGGGCTATTATGAATACAATGTACATAAACACTTGTGTACAAGTTTTTGTGTGAATGTAAGTTTTCATTTCTCCAGGATAAATGTCCAAGAGTGTTATTGCTGAGTTAGATGGTAAGTTATTTTACTGAGTTTTCAAAGCAAATTGAAAAATATTTTACAGAGTGGCTGTATCATTCTACATTCTCAATGTATGAGTATAGATAATGAATAAGTGACCCCATAACTCCACATCTTCACCAGCTTTTGGAGTTGCCACTATTTTTGATATTAGCCTTTCTGATAGGTGTGTAGTTATATCTCATCATGATTTTAATTTACAATTTCCCAAAGGCTAATGAAGCTGGGCATCTTTTCATCTGCTCATCTGTATACTCTCTGATGAAATGTATGTTCATGTCTTTTATCCACTTCTGATTGATTGATTGATTTGGTTGCTATCATTTTTACCATTGATTTTGTGGGTTCTTTATATATTCTAATGCAAGGCCTTTGTCTTGCAAACAGTTTTTCCCAGGCTGTAATTTGTTTTTTCATCCTCTTCATAGAGTCTTTCAGAAAAAAAAAAATTAGTTTGCTTCCCCTGTAAGTTGAGTGATGGTAGCATGTCTGTTCTACAGCACTGGATGTTCTACACAGAGCAATGAATCCATAAAAATAAATAAGTATACAGATCATAAAGGAGGAGAAAAAATTTTTAGCTAATAACACAACTGATTATGCAGAAAATCCCAAGAAATCAAACAAAACAAAAGACTTCTTAGAACTAATTAATTAGTTCAGTAAGTCACAGCATACACAATCAATACACATAAATCAATTTCATTTCCACATACTAACAACAAATGTGGAAAATAAAACACCATAACCACTTAAAATCACTCCAAAGAAAATGAACCAGGGTAAGTCTAACAAAATACATACAGGATCTTTATGCTAAAGATGGCAAAATGCTGATTAAAGAATACAAAGAAATAAAAGGAAACATATACCATGTTCATGGAGTCCAAGAGTCAATACAGTAAAGGGGTCATTTCTCCTAAAACTGAGCTACACATTTAAAGCAATTTCTATTAACATCCCAGAAAGCTTTTGTAGATAGACCCAATCTCATCCTAAAATTTATGGGAAAACACAGACCTTAGAATAGCTAAAACAATCTTGAAAAAGAATAAAGTGGGAGGAATCACTCTATCTGATGTTAAAACATACTAAATAACTACAGTAATTTGAAGTGTGGTATTGGTAGAACGGTAGACACAGTTATCAATGGGACAGAGTCATAAACAGTATACAGAGCCATAAACAGCCCCATTCAAATATGTCCAATAATTTTTTTTCAAAAGCACAATAATAATTCAGGGAGGAAGAATAGTTTTTATAATAAATGGTGCTGGAACAATTAGAAATCTATAAGAAAAAGGGGAAAAAAGTGAAGTGAACCTTGACCAAAACTTCACATCTTATATAAAAATTAACTCAGGAGAGACCATGGGCCTAAATGTAAAATATAAAGCTGCTGGATTTTTTTAAAAGCAACAGGAAAACAACTTCAGAACCTAGGCTAAGTGATGAATTCTTAGACTTGACATCAAAAGTATAATCTATAAAAGGAAAAAAATGATAAAATGAAACCTTATAAAATTAAAAATTGTTGTTCTTTTGAAAGCTTTTTAAAAATGTATAATTTGGGGTTGGCAGGTGGCATGGTGGTTAAGGGCACTGGACTCCCACATGGCCAACCGTAGTTCAAGTCGAGGCCTGGTAGATTGCTTTCTCAATTTCTCTCTCTCTCTCTTTCTCTCTGTCCCTCTCTGGACAAATTTAAATAAATAAATAAAGTTAAACACAATTTATAAAAATGTGTAATTTAATATTAGACAAAGTATGGAAATAAATTTGCATGATTAACTTTTTATTTTAATTTACTGATGATAAAACAAGTGTTACAGGAATGATTTGTCAAAGACAAGACATGGCTTTATGAATGTGGCGTATTTAGATGAGCAAAGGTGGTGATGGAAGTGACTACAAAGAAATGAAAAACAGAAGAGTTCATATTAATTTTATCTGAGATTATGATTCCTTGAATATTAAGTTTCTAGTCATTATTGATTATGAAGTGCTAAAACCACACTTATGTTCTATGCAAAGATGTACTGACCAACAAAACAGAGGAACTATTAAGACTTAGTGTCACTGACATTAAAAATAATAAATTCAAAGACAAAATAATTATTTTAAAGAATATTAAAATAAAATGCAAAGTTGATGTCCACTATTTCACACACAGCATTAATGCTCTTCAGACTTATTGAAAAAGAATAGTTTGAAATGCTGAGAATAGAAAACCATATGTAATTGTCAAGACAATGGTGAAAAACTGTGTACTAAAGATGTTTTCTTGGGACCAGCAGTTAGTGTAATGGTTATGTCACTGAACTCCCACGTAGTCGACCATGGTTCGAGTCCCAGACCTGGTGGCTTAAACTCACACCGGGCACATGTGCGTGCGTGCCCAGGATCCCGAGAGGAGAATGGAGAAGCAGGGATTGCAGCGTGGCCATCCCCCCTGGGGAGTGATTTCTCGCTTTTTGTCTCTCTGTCTCTCTCTTGTCTGGCAAGCACACGTGCCCTATAGCAAAAACCTCTTAAAAAAAAAAAAAAGATGTTTTCTTGGAAATTTTGGAAAATACATGGCAAGAAAGATACTTACCATTTTCTAATGATACCATAGTTTGATGATTTCGCAACTGGCTAAAGATAGGTAGTGGTACCAACATGTGGGACGAATAAAAGTAGCAAAGTATGTAGCACTGTAATTTAATAAGTGCAAGTAGATACTGCTCACATAGTGACTCTTCCAGTATATGTGCAATGTAAATTATAATGTGATAAGAAGGAAAAAGTCTTCATTTTCTTAGCTTGCCAAACAAATTAGTTCCATACTGCATAAAAATGTAAAGTACTGTATTATCAACAAATGTGTTTGAATTGTAAGTTTTATGTAGGATGATTTTCTACTAGTAATGCTACAAGACATGCAAACAGTCTGAGATAGTTCCACAGATTAAGGAATTCGTGCCAGTCTTCAAGTCTTGTTCAAGAAAGAAAGAAAGAAAGAAAGAAAGAAAGAAAGAAAGAAAGAAAGAAAGATCCTGTCATCCTGCTAGATGAACTAAACAGTGTGCTCAGTGAAAATACACATCTCTTGTTATGTAAGGTGTGATGTACTAAATTTTGGATTATTCCCTTAATTCAGTGATAATTTATAGCTAATAGTTAATAACTGTCATTGTATGCTGAAGATGGTGAAAAGGGGGAAAGTTCTGCTGAGAATGTTTGAACTCCCAAATAAACTCACGTTTAAGGCAAAAACTGGTATGCTCCTAGTGTTTTAAGGATTTTTAAAGTCTTAATTAAAAATTAAACTGACTATAAAAATTACAAGAAATGGGGAATGTTTTTATATCTTACCATTATAACTGGTAAATGAGTAATAGCAAGTCACAGATCACAGCTCGTCCACCCTACACATCACTAGTATGCAGCTTCTACCAGGTGAGACTCCACATGTGAGTTCCACAACACACACACTGGTCTACACCCTGCCAGCAAGCCAACCCACTGGTCACACTTTGGTTGCCACAGTGATGTGTGAGCTGCTCTGGAAGTTTCTAAACACATACTCCCTGTTTTTACATACTTATCTCACTGCCAATAACAAACCGCTCCGGTGAGCAAACCTGAGGAGGGGGAGCACAGGTGGGACTGTTTTACTGATGACAGTTCAGCGCTCTCTAGCAGTCAATAATGAAGCAGTGGGTGTATTTTTAACTACTACATTTCATAACTCTAAGCATCCTTAGTCATAAGGTGCATGGCTCATAGCTGGCACGTGACTGATTAGAAGACACATTTGAGGTTTAGAGAAGCCATAATGTGGGAAAACACAGTGGTCCTCAGAAACAATGAAGTATACTTCCAGTTTTTTATAGTTTCTAAAAGGGATGGAAAATAAAGATAAGTATAAACAAATTAAGAAATTGTAATGGACAATATATAAACCAAAGGAACATTATGCTAACACATTTTCTGTTGAAAGGGTAGAACATTTTAGTTACAGAAATAAGACAACATCAGACACATACTAGTCAATTTTCAGCATTTTTTAGTGGACCTGTTTTTCTTTTTTTTGGACATCCAATTCATACTCATTCTTTGTAATGATACTGAGTATGCTCTGGAAAACTATCCCTCCCTCCCCTCAACAACATGATGGCCAGTGGTCCTGATGGGGCATCCAGTAAGAGGTTCAGGGAAGGGACTAAAACCACTGGAAAAGTGGAATGGAATATTGGCCAGAATACTGGCTCGAGCTTCTGAAGAAGAAAGCTCCTCTGTCCTCCAAGGGGTAACTGGAGTAGACTTTTCTACTCCCTTTTCTGTGTGGTCTGAGGATGAAAATGTAGAACAGAAGAGCCCTGCCGTGCTGGGGCACACCTGCACAAAGCCTGAGCTGGCAGAGACTGGACACCTGTTCTGACACAGCGTAACCTCCAGGACGTGCCTGCCAGGGCAACTGTCTCATGGCCCGTTTTCTCACGAGTGACGTGGGGACGTTCGCATTCCTTGTGGCCATCATAAGAGCCGTTTTCCTCTCGGTCCTGCTCAGGGAACAGATGTCTCCCTCCCCTCCCTTCTGCAGCACAGGAAAACAGTTCAATAAGTAAGCCTTTTGACCACAGATCTAAAGTCACATCCCCTAATCAGTTAGTCTATAATAAAGAAAAAGAGTTTAATCACCGTATGTCTGATTCCTGCATCTATCTCCCAGCTGACTCCAAACTGAGGAGGAAAGTAAAGGATTGGTAAAGATGGACTCAAAGTCAACATTATTAAGACACGTGCCGTACACAGGAGAAAGGTGGGCTTGAGAGAGGATGAGCAATTCACACGGTCACCAACACCTAACACATGTGGCAAAACTGGCAGTCAGACCAGGGCCCTCATTAACTCTGAAGTCCACATTTTCCAGTGTACTCACACGCATGTTACTTCCGTTCACTAAGGCAGGCACGTTGCACTGACATTCTCTAATGAGATTTTACAAGCTGTGTGTGTGGGATGCAGGGGAAGAAGAGGACAAAGAGCGCACTTTTGCTATGTACTTGGAAGTCCCAGATACCATCCAAAGCCATTTACATCCCCACACTGCCCCCAGCATTCTCCACCAAGTTAAGTGACAATGAGTATCCAAAGTTCATGTGCTTTCTATTTACTAAGCGGCTCTTCCAATATTATCAAGCTGTTACCAACAGCACTGGGTTAGCTGCTCGGCAGACACACTTACTGAATAGTTCTTTTCGATGGCACACAGCACGACATCCACACATATGAACACCCCTGTCCTGCCCACGCCGGCACTGCAGTGAACCACCATGGGCCCCGTGAGGTGGCTCTTCCTCACGTAACGGACATATTTTATGAAATACTCTGCTGAGGCAGGAGTGCCATGGTCTGGCCACTTGGTGAACTGCAAGTGTTTCACAAAGTGACTGATTCCCGTCTGTTGAGAGACAGAAAGAGAGGTTTATCAACTTCTTACATTAGAGATCTCATTTAAATTTCTGCGATACTAGTAATAATACTAACAATAGCTCCATGTGTAATATATAAAGCTTTCAAAGAGTATCCAAATCTCATTTTGATGTTAGTAAGAATTCCAGAAGCTGCCAGAAATAGAAGTATTCTCCATTTTACAAAGGAGTGCACAGCAATGATAATACAAATACCAATTCTGATGAGCAGCATGAACTGGGCACTCTGTGCCAGGTCCTGCAGTCGAGACTTCACACAAACTACCACTCAGCCTTCACATCAGCCCCATGCAGTAGGCATTATTTCTCTTCATTTTACAAATAAGATGGACTGAAGGGAACAGAGAGATGCATGCTAGGTCAGTGCCCACACAGATGGAGCTGAGACTGCACGGCAGGCCTCTGAACACTCTTCCCCACTACCATGTGGTACCATGAGGCTTCAGGAAAACGAGGACTTCAAACAATCACAAAGACGGGCTGACGTGAGAAGTAAGACTGGAAGGAGACCTCTTAGCTTACATACGACGCGTACCACACTTAATAAAGACGGCATGGCCCAAGGCAATGACGACAGGGTGGTCAAGAACCGTGCGTAGCCCCTTTACTGTGCTGAGTGTCCCTGAAGTGGACTCATGAAACTGCTAAAGCCGACCAAGCACTCTGAGTTACCACGTCCCAGCCAAAGGCATCGTCACCTTTCCCCAGGTTGGGCTCCCATCTCCTCTCACTAGGGACCTTGTGGGAAAACTCAGAGTGGGTTTCTCTCTCCTTAGCTTCTCTCTAAAATGCCTCTTCTTCCTGAGTTTTCTTAACAAAGATGCTGGTGTTCAGAGCCCTCTTCTAATTTAAGGTACCTACTGAAACTTGTGTCGTTTAATTTTCTGTGTCAACTTAGCTGGGCTGCAGTACCCAGAAATTTGGTCAAACACTAGTCTAGATGTTTCTGTGATGGTTATTTTTTTCAAATGAGAATTAAATTGGTGGTCTTTGAGTAAGGCAGTCTATCCCCCAGTGTGGGTGAGCCTCATCTAATCAGTTGATGGTCCTAACCAAAGACTGATCTCCTTGAGCAAGAAGCATTCTGCTTGCATTTCTCTTTTCTACTTGAACTGTAATTTTTTTCCTAGGTCTTCAGCCGACTGTCCCACTCTGGAGATTTGTGAGCCTTCCATGATCTGTGAACCAATTCTTTAAGAAACAGTATCTCGCTCGTATTGCCCTCTCTCTACAAATACATACAAAGCTTCCTGGTTGTACTTCTCTGGAGAACCCAAACTAATACAGACTCCTCCATGGATTTATGTAATATAATTTTGTACCTGGAATCATAAATCTAGAAAAACCCCTGGACACTTTGGTTACTGATGTTTTCTACATTACATAGTATTTAACAAGGGCAGAAATGACCTCATACCTGCAAATGGCAGTAAGGAAGAGGGGTCGTGTTTTTTGGTTTTTTTGTTTTTTGTTTTTTGGTTTTTTTTTAGAGGTTTTTGCTATAGGGTACGTGCACTCACTAGAAAGACAGAGTGAGACAGAGAGACAGGAAGTGAGAAATCACCCCCCAAGGGGGATGGCCATGCTGCAGTCCCTTCTCCATTCTCCTCTTGGGATCTTGGGCACGCATGCACGCGACGCCCCTGGCATGAGTTTAAGCCACCGTGTCCAGGACTTGAACCGCGTTCAGCTACATGGGAGTCCAGCGACATAGCCATTATGCCAGCTGCTGGTCCCGAGGGCTCATGTTTTAAAAATTCTTCCAATGTAACACCAAATAGAAAATTCAAGTTTGAATCATTGGCACACAAAATTCAATGATGAAAACAAACACACATGTCATTTGTAACTGACTTGTTTGGTGTCTTCTTTCCCCACCAGACTGTAACGTCTCTTAAGAATTAAGACTGTGTCTGTCTTTTTAGCTTCAGGGAAGTGCATACAGGACACGTTACAGACACACCTAGCTGCCCACTTCTCTTTCCAATTTATTATTCCTCTCCTTGTGTGAAAACCCCTTTCCCTTTGAGTTTCCTGTCTTCTAGCTTTATCTTCGCATTGCCGTCACCCCGTAACTAACCCTCCCATCAAGCCTCTGCATTCACTGAAGAGCACGGTCTTTCTACCAATTCGGACATCATCCATGGCAAATTTAGAGTCTCAACAGCCCAATGGATACTCTCACATCATAGTTTTTTTTTTTTTAATTTTTCTCCTGTAGGGGAGATCACTTCCTTTCTTATAGCCCCCACAATGGTGACTACTCCTTGGACTTACCGTTATCTGTGCTGTCTAGCATGAAAAATCTCCCAATTTTACAAAGCCAACATCAGCTTCTTACCAGTTCTTATGCTACCACTTCCTTCACTTCAACTCCAACAGCTATGCAGCCAAATGGAGCTCTCCAGTCCTTTCCATCCTCTAGTTACCCCCTGTTGACTGGCCCCTGATCCCATTCATACCCCTAAGCAACCTTGGCTTTGTGGCTAATTATCTGAATCATTCTTACTAAACTGTAAAATCCTTTGATCCTTTGAATCTTGCCACATTTACTAGACAACATTCCTTCTTGGGTCAGTCCCATAATCTGGGTTCAGGGGTCCCATACTTACCTTGCTGGAAACAAAATAATCACATAGTTGCATATTTTGTTGCTATTACAAACTTATGGGTCCAATGTCAGCATCACTCAGAAACCCCTTTGTTGGTCACTGGCTGTGCTCCAACAATTGGCTTCTCTGGTGATGGATGTAAACCTCACCAACCTCTTCAACTTCCAGTTCAATTCCCATCCTCTTTATTCCTACTGAATATATATATATCGCCTAACTGCTAATCCAACCCACTAAAGGGATAGAAATCATCACTCTCTCCTATAAACCATTCCTTTCCTATTTTCCCAAATCCAAAACTTTTCAACAAGATGCAAATGTTCAGATCATTCCCTGGATCCCATGTGGCTAGCAGCCTGAAAAACATGCTGAGCACATGTGAGAATGTACCCCAAATCTTAACAGAATGAAGAAATGGAGGAAAAGGGATTGCAATATGATCAACACCCCATGGGGGGGCGCTGATTTCTTCCTTTCTCTCACTCTCTCGCTCTCTGTCTCCTTTTGGAGAGTGCATATAGCCTCGGGAAATTAAAAATTAATTAATTAAAGAGACAGAAATGCACCATATATGTGCTAATATGGTATCCGCTAGCAAGATGTGACTAACAAGGATCAGAAATGTGACTACTGAATGTGAGGAAATTAATTTGTTATTTGATGGAAATTTAAATATTGTAAACTTAAATAGCCACATGTTACCACCATTAAAAGAGTGTAATTTTCAACTCCTTCCTCTCATAAATCACAAGTCAAGAATCATGCATAGGTCTGCCAATTTTACCTGCAAGCACCTGTGTCTGGCTTTCCCCGTGCACTGCCAGCTGCTCTAGTCATGCTACTCACTTCCTGAAATTCTTCAAAGTGTTCTAGTTATCTTCATAATGAAAGTCCTGCTCTCGAGTTGAAATCTAAGGCCGTTCATGTGCTAGTTTGTTCCTGCTTACTTTCTATAGCCTCGGCTTTCCCCAGTGCACTGCCAACTGCTCACTTCCTGAAATTCTTCAAAGTGTTCTAGTTATCTTCATAATGAAAGTCCTGCTCTCGAGTTGAAATCTAAGGCCGTTCATGTGCTAGTTTGTTCCTGCTTACTTTCTATAGCCTCGTCTCATCTCTTATTTCTCTTTGATACTCGATTGTTCCATTCCAAAGACACTTAGCTACTTAACATTTCTCTATATACACCCTATGCTATTTTATACCCTGATCATCAGCTTTTTCTTTATTTCTCTTTTGGAGAGATGTCACCTCCTCCAAAAAACATTCCCCAAACCACAAGTAAAGCTAAGTCCCCTTCCAAACACTCACATTACCTCATACAGAGCTCAACAGTGGCACTGAGCACAGTAACAGAAGTGAGTGTACCAATCTCCCACTGTTTAGTAAGTACCAGCAGTGTTGGGCATAGTGAGTAGCCCACTTGAAAGACCATCACACATCTGCCATACTTAGCAGAAGCAGCTGGAGTTGTCCCAGGACCAGGCAACTTCTAATGCTCTCTCTCTGTCTCCATTTTTATCTCCAGTTACAGTGTAGGTAAGCGCCAGTAGTGCTGGTAGCTTAGTTTCTGGTGCCAACGAGAAGTAAAAAGAAGTTACTCAAAAGAGTATCCTCAGTATATATTCCATAATTTGCCCAGTTTCTGTTCCTAACAAATTTGTTCATGTCGTAAAATAAAGATCTAATGCTGATTTTTTAAAAACTTACGGACTTATTCACCACTTGAAGGATTCGAATGATGAAATACGGAAGTATCTGGTAGTTCTCCAGGAAGACACGGAAGTGTTTCGATTCCAAAGGCTCCTTCAGAGAAATAGGCCAGTAATGGTGGCATTTACTAATCCCACTTTCTGTATCTCTGGTTATCATGGCAATAACATTAGAATTATTTTCCAAAACCATTTGCCAAAAGTCATCTGTGGTACTTGGCAGTGGTCCTTGGGCCGCAATATAAAAATACTCTTCTTCATAATTGACTATTCTAATATAACTAGCATTGATGTAGTCCTTGCTTTTTCCAAGAGGTACACGTGTTGAATCATCTATTACAGAAACAGAAATATCTGATAGATAATTGAAAAATGGGATATGCAATACACCCAGACCTGACGAAAGCATTTCACACAGGTAAATAAATACGTGACTCTTAGACCAACAAAGAAGACGGCATAGAGCAACTTTTCAATTTCTTCCCTCCCCAAAACCTATTTTGACGTAAGAAGTATGTAATTAAGGAAGTTTTTTTTCCCCCATCAGTTTTTAATAAACAGAGGAGGTCATCAGCATCTAGGCACTTTGTGAGATTTCTGTTGGAAATGGTACAGGTAAAATTAGGCCAGGGAGGTTTCTACTAGTTTGCAACTAAACACAGCAAAGGGGGAGCCCTCTGTGGGAATGAATGGAAGACATTATGCTACAAATCTCAGAAACTTGCAAGCCCAGAGAAGGGAGGGTGAGGGGGGAAAAAAACAAAAACAAAAACAAAAAAACCACACCGCTAGAGTTGATGGGAGACAAATCCTAGAATTAACAGAGTTCTACCCATTCTTACACACAAGGCAGTCAGCTTTTATGTGCATCTTCAGTTTTCACCTGGTGAAGTGGCACATTAATTAAAGCAAATGTGTTGTGTCGGCAGATGCTACCAAGAGGATTTGCCCTTAACACTGAACTCATGTAACATGAACTATTGTATGAGAGGGGGAAACTACTTTGTCCACTAAAAATCTCACTGCCCCAGTAGCTCTTTATTCACTTGAAATAAACACTCATGGCAAAGGGTCCTTCCCTGACACTTAGCTCTCTCCCCAATAGCCTCTTCCTACTACTCAGAGCCTCATGGATTACTTACTTAGCAAATATACCATGACAACAATAACCGAACAGGGATTTAGGTGATGTCTGACAGACCCACTCAGATTCCATCACAGTACATATGAACTTGCCCCTTCTAAATAAGAATAGGAAAAACATTCAGTACATGTATAAAGATATCCAATATTTCAAAAAAGACAGCTATTTTTAAAAATCATAGTAAATATCTTCTGTTATATAAAATGAAACAATATCTTAAAAATTCCTATTTGTATGCAAGTGAAATTCAAGAGAACACTATTTTGTTATTTAAAAATATATATCCATATTTACTGACACATGTTACATTATTAAATTATGAAAGAGGTAACAAAGTGATTTACAAATTCAATGCAATTCCTATAATAAACCAATGATGTTCTTCACCAAAATACAGAAAAACAATCACAAAATTTGTCTGAACTACCAATGACCCCATCTCTCCAAAGCAATGCTATTGGAGGCATCTCACTACCTGACTTAAATATATGTAACAAAACCATAATTACCAAGACAGCATGGTGCTGGCGCAAAAACAGACACACTGACAAATGGAATAAAATAGAGAATCCAGACATAAACCAAACAACCTATAACCAACTGATTTTTGATAAATATTGCAACACCATCCAATCGAGAAAAGGATCAGTTCAATAAAGACTGCTGGCAAAACTGGATATCTGCTTGCAGAAGAATGAAAGTAAATCACAGTTCCTTACCATTTACAAAAAATAACTAAATATGGATTAAAGACTTAAATGTAAAACCTAAAACTATAAATTACTTGAGAAAATTTCAGGGGAAACACTTCAAGATATCAAGATAGGTGACAATTTATTTAAATAAGATCCCTAAAGTATAGGCAACAACACTAAAAACAGGGACCAGCAATTGGCATAATGGTTATGTCACTGGACTCCCACATAGTCAACAGAGGTTCGAGTCCCAGACCTGGTGGCTTAAACTCAAGCTGGGTGTTCGTGCATGCATGCCCAGGATCCCAAAAGGAGAATGGAGGAGAAGGGATTGTGGTGTGGCCATCCCCCTGGGGGGTGATTTCTCACTTTCTGTCTCTCTGTCTCTCTCTGTCTTTCTGGAGAGTGCATGTGCCCTACAGCAAAAACCTCTCGAAAAACAAAAAACAAACAAACAAAAAACAAAAACAGACAAGTGGAATTACATCAGGTTAAAAAGCTACTATATAGTAAAGGGAACAAAAAACAAAGTAAATAAACAGTCCACAGAATGGAAGAAAAATGTTCGCATACTATACTGCTCTCCTGGAAAAATCAAACAAAAAACCCGAATAATTTGATTTTAAAAATGAGCAGTCAATCTGAACAGACTATTTTCAAAGGAAGACATACAAATGGCCAAAAAACACACAAAAAATGTGTAACATCTCTTTTCATAAAAGATATGCAAATCAAAACCACAATGAGATTATCACCTAACCCCAATTAGAATGGCTATGATAAAATAAGAATAGGGACCAGCAGGTGGTGAAGGCACTGGATCCCACACAGCTGATGTCACAGTTCCAAGTCCCAGACTTGGCAGCCAGAAAAACATGCTACATGCATGTGTGTGCATGCCCAAAATCCTGAGAGGAGAGTTGAGGAGAAAGGGTTGCAGTGTGGCCATCCTCCCTGGAGTGGGGGTGATTTCTCACTTTCTCTCTTTCTCACTCTCTTGTGAACACACATGCCCTACAGCAAGAAACTAAATAAAAAAGAACAAACAAAAACAAAGAATCATGGGACCAGCAGTTAGCATAATGGCTATGTTGCTGGACTCCCACGGAGTCGGTTGCGGTTCAAGTCCCGGACCCAGTGGATTAAAACTCACGCCAGACGTGTGTGCGTGTGTGCCCAAGATCCCGAAAGGAGAATGGAGAAGGGATTGCAGCATGGCCATTCCCCCTGGGGGGTGATTTCTCCCTTCTCTGTCTCTCTCTGTCTTCCCTGGGAGCCTACCCGCCCCAATACAAAAAAAAAAAAAACAAACAAAAAATAAAAAAACAGAGAATAAGTAATGACAAGGTTGCAAATGTAACCCTCATGCACCACTGGTGGGGATATAAATTAGTATAGTCACTGTGGAGAACAGTAAGGAGCTTCTTCGTAAGTCTAAACATAGAATTTCTATAAGGCTCAGTAATTCTGCTCTTGGGTTTTTATCCAAAGCACAGAAAATCACTTGGTCAGAGAGACATTTGTATGTGTTTACTGTGCCATTATTCACTATAGCTAAAACATGGGATCATCCTAAGTGCCCAACAAACAATGACTGGTTTAAGAAAATGTGGCACATATACACAATGCAATACTACTCAGCCATAAAGAATAATAAAGTTCTGTCATTTGATAAAAAAGTGGATGAACCTAGAAGATATAATGCTAAGTAAAATAAGGCAGACTATGAAAGACAAATACCATATGTCCTCACTTAAAAGATACCAAATGTCTGCACCGTATAGCAGAAACTGAAGGATTCAAAAGCATAGGAATAGAGACAGTAATTATAGATACTAAGACCTGCTTGAGAAAAAGAGAGAGTTTCATGAGAAAATTTATAATGGACACAGGAATGCATGTAAATTAAGGGAAGAGGTATATCACAACAGAGTTTAAAAAAATGAACACTTTAATACATATTTCAAAAAAAGTAGTAGAACTATTAACAAATGTACACAACATAATGTTAAATGTTGGAAAAGATGAATGTGTATATATCCTTGATCTGATTATTATACACTGTATACATGATATAAGAAAACCATACTATAGCCCACAAAGATACACATCGATTAAATACAAATCAGAAATCATAATTTTAAAAAAGTTAAAGGAAGAGAAAGACAAACGCTGTATGTCCCTGCTTTACATATACTGAATGCCTACACTTTATGGTGGAAACTGAAGGACTTACGGCACAAAAGTAGAAAGAATAATAATAGATACAACAAGCTACATGGGGAGGTGAGGGAGTAGGAGGATTCAGGAGAAAATGATTACAGACACAGGAATGCATAAACAAGGGAAATGGGTTATGAACTGGAGACCACAGCAAAGTAAAAAATGTCATTGGCAATTCAATATGTACTTACAAAAAATTTCTAAAAACTAGTAGAACTACTATCAAATGTGTATAACATTATATAATGTTCAATGCTGAGGAAGATGACTATGTCAATATTGGTGATTTGAAAATGTCACACTATGGGAACCAGCAGTTAGCGTAATGGCTATGTCGCTGGACTCCCATGTAGTTGACCACAGTTCGCGTCCCGGACCAGGTGGCTTAAAACTCACGCCGGGCGCATGTGCATGCGTGCCCAAGATCCCGAGAGGAGAATGGAGGAGAAGGGATTGTGGCGTGACCATCCCCGCTGGGGGGTGATTTCTCGCTTTCTGTCTCTATGTCTCTCTCTGTCTGGAGAGCGCACACATCCTATAGCGAAAAAACCTCTCCAAAAAGAAAAAAAAAGAAAATGACACACTATGCATGTCTGAAAGACCACATCGTACCCTGTGGCAAGTATTCATCAAAACATTAGCATGTTAGCAGTGGTTATCTTATTATCTAAGTAATGAGTATATACTACTTTATAGTAAAAAAAAAAAAAATTTACCCTGAAAAGGGAGATTAAATATGTAAAAATGTAAAAATCTAAAATAATAAAAGCTTACTTTCAGAAAATAATCACAATCAACTCAAATTCCTGAAGGACAAGATGAAGAGGAAAACAAATAATTTAGAAAACTGTCTTAAGGAATTTTCCTATAACTCAGAAAAATCTTGTAAAAAATGTTACAATAATGATTAAAATACAAAAGGACTCCAAAGGGAATATATAAAAAGAATTTCAGTGGGAGATACTTAACCTAAGTGATCACAGATAAAACCTTCCTAAACAGAGACAGTAATAGAAGACAGTGAACATGTACGCCAAGCCCAGTGGCGTGGTATTTTGCATGTACCACCTCATCGACTTCAAAACAGTCCTTTAAAGGTGGTGCTGTTATACTCACAGTTTTCAGAAAAGGTCCCTATACTATGTAAGTTGTTCCATATTATTAAGTAATCCTTCTAGACTCCACACCCAAATATATTTACGCTCAAGAGTCCAAAAATGATCTCATGCTCTGCTGTCTCTAATGGAAGACCCAAGTTTGTAGACAAAAAGGCCTCACTAAGTGTCAGGCAACATTAATAAAGAGAACCACTATGATATCTGAACCAGCAGAGCATAAAGTCACAGAGATAGGAAACAAAAATTATCCTAGTGGATCACAGGGGTAGTGATGAGTGGTGTCACTCCCATTCCCACTCTTTGACTGCTGAATCCCAGCTATGGCAAAAACAGCATCATATACTGGATATTGATTTGGGCATACACAGCTGTTGAAGAACATTGTCCCAGCACTGCAAGGTATTGTCACCTAGCTGACATGATAACTGATTCTTCAAAAGGTCATTCAACCATTCTGTCAAGCCAGTTTCTTCAAGATGATGCGAAATAGGAAAAGATCAGTGGATTTCATGAGCAATAATAGCCCATTGCCACAAACCTTTTGCCATAAAGTGAGTTTCTTAATCATAAACAGTGCTGTCTGGAACACCAAGATGGGTGATGAAGCATTCTGTAGGTCCACAGAGGGTCAACCTCGCAGAAGCACTGCATGCAGGGAAGGCAAACCCAGGTCCAGAATAACTGTCTGTTCTAATATGAAAAAAGCACTGTTCCTTCCACAATGGAGGTACAAGGCCATCAATCTGCTGTTGGGTAGCCGGCTGGCCATCCCATGCAATGGGGTCACATCAGATACTTGGTGTTGGTCTCTGCTTCTGCCAGATTGGGTATTCAGCAGTGGCTGTATCCAAAACAGCCTTGGTCAGGGAGACTACACTGCTAAGCCCATGACATCTATCCCTATTACCATGACCACTTTGTATATGAGACCCCAGGGTGATGACAATAATGATTAAACTGCAAAAGGACTCAGAAGGGAATAGGGAATGGAGAAATAGTCTAACCAATACCTATTGTACAGGTTAGCTTATTCACTTGATTACTATAGCCTTCATTTGCTGAGGTCACCTTATTCCATGGGAACACAAACATCCTTTCTGTTTCTTTGCTATAGTTTCATCCTTTTCACCCAATTCTCTCCTTTGATTACCCATTTTTATAAGATGTTGTGTGGGTCTACTATTATTGAAAGACAAGGAGGCAACACAGCTATACACATGAAGAGATACTTACACAGTAACCAATCTCCAACATAGTTTTTTTAAAGTGACCTGACTAGTCACTTATCATGATGTGTATCTATTATTTACAAAGAGATTTGGGAACGGGAGAGATAGCAGTGATGTTTGTTAGTGTTTGTTACTTCATGCAATTAATTTTTCATGACAACTGAAATTTGAATCATATTGTTGCAGGACTGGTGTTACTTAACTAAACACAGTACAAGTTGAATACCCTTAATTCAAAATGCTTAAAACGAGAAGTGTTCGGTTTTCAAGTGTTGGGGTTGTGGAATATTTGCATGATCATGTGTTATCTTGGGAATGGGAGCCAAGCCTAAACATGTATGTGTCATATACACCTTACACTTAGGCACTATGTATATGCTTTTATATAATATTTTTGGGTTGCAGCATTTTGATTATGACCTTTCATATGATGTCAGGTGTGCAATTTCTCACTTGTGGCATCTTGTTGGCATTCAAAAAGTTTCAAATTTTGGAACATTTCAGATTTCAGGTATTCAGATTAGGAATGCTCTACCTGAAACAATTTGTGCATACTGAGCCCACACAAAGTAAAGAATCTTTTTATGTGCAGTGCCCCAGAACATGTGGATTCACCCACTCAGTGTTCTCACGTCTCTCAGATAAGAGCGGGTAAGTTATTTCTTATTAAGTTTCTTGCTTTTGTTAGGTTTTTGCCATAGGGCACATGTGTTCCAGGAGAGAGACAGAGAGGCAGGGAAAGTGGGAAATCACCCCCCAGGGTGGATGGAAATGCCTCAATCCCTTCTTCTCCATTCTCCTTTTGAGATTCTGGGTATATACAGGTGCCCAGCTTGGTTTTAGAGCTGCCAAGTCCTGAACTCAAACTGCAGTTGGCATATGGGAATCCAGAGCCTTAACCGTCACTCTACCTGCTAACTGCTCTTAATAACTTTCTTAATGTGAGTCTCGCTCTTCATGTGAGTCTTCAGAAACTTTTCTATAAATTTGAAAATTTGTGGTGAATAAAACAAAAAAGCTTTCTATGATTGTTACTCAAGCAGGTTGTTTTTCAGGTTAAATCAGTGGCTACATCAGTGGACTTCAACATAGAGTTTGGTTGAGTTACAGTTTATTTTGAGAAAAGTAAAAAGCTCTATATAATTTCTGCTATTTTTTAATCATTTAACTTTATTTTTTATATTTTTGTGTCCCTTTAGTTGTCCATCCTTTTATTCTCTTAATAAAGAGTTCAGACCAGATCAATGTAATGTGTACCCTATATCACAAAATGAGATTCTCAAAATCTTGAAAGCTCATCTTCAGTCTCTTTAACAGCTAATCGCACAAACAGCAATAGAAATTAAATAATTGGGGCCTTTGAATTTCTGGAGTAGCACCAATTATTGGCATTCATATTAAAAGGTCTAATAGTAGCTTCATGCTCTGATTTTTAAAATATTAGTTGGTATATTTCTCCATATTTTCCCCATAGAAGAAAGCAGAAAACATAATTTAACTATATTAGGAAAATACTCATTATTTTTATAATCATAAAGTTCTTTTAGATATAAATTAATCAACTAACATGAAGGCATTTGTCCAGTTAGGCAGTGTCATCATCAGTGGAAGAAACAGAAATGAAAAGAATTGAACATAGTTTGGTAAATAGGGGAAGGTGCTAAGAGACCACTTGAGAAACACCAAATCTAGCTTTCAGGACAAGAAGGCCTAGCCAACTTAGCTATGAAAGGCAGCAAGGATTATGTTGGTAAAGAAGGGAAGCAGGATGGTTCTAGCAAGAACCACAGGTTCAGAGGTATGGAGGCAAGAAAAAGAGAATGATGAATTCCAGAAACCAAAAGAAGTGTGGGAGAGTTGAAGCTGGAGAGGCAGAGATAAAATTCATATACCAGGCTGAAGTATTTTATCAAAACAGTGACAGCCAAGGACGAGCAGCAGCCTTTCAGTCTCTTCTTATACCTACTTCTCAGACCGTGAACCATCCAAAGTGTAAACTCTAACAGTCCAAGATATCCACCACTTTTGGTACCCCAGGCTGGACCACCTTCCCTGGTCATTTTGTTCAGACACACAAATATGGTGGGACTATCTATATCTTTTGGCCTGGGCAATAAAGCCACCAATTTACCTGCCAACAGAAGACTGCCCTTTCATTGTCTCCAAAGGGTCCTACATTCCCATGTTCAGTGGAGAGTATTGAAACACCCTGACTTCCTTGCCCTGTCACTCACAGAATTTATCCATCTTAGGCCATCCAAAGAGCAGAAATAAAACATGACCACATAGATTTAACCTGAGGCAGGAAGTCTCATCCCATTGAGTCACATTTCTTTCAAAGTCTGAACTTTACCAAATTAAATTTACCATTTTTCTTTCTCCAGCTTGACCTGTGTTCTACAATATATCATATTTAATGTACCTACCCAGTTGCTTAAGTCAGAAAATAGTGAGTCACCTGCAGTATCCAAGAAGTGAACACTAATCCTTTCGATTCTACTTCCTTCAGACCTCTAGAATCCTCTTTCAAGCTTGTATTCTGCTGCTCACTGAAACTGAGCCTGTTATCTTTAGGCTAGTTTCTGTCTTCTTCACTACCTCTTTTTCCCATCCATTCACAGCAGCTGCTGAACTGACTTCTTGAATGCAAGTCAGAACATACAACTCTCCTTTTAACGCTTTTCCTTGGCTCTCTCTTATAACCTAAAAACAGTGGCCACAGAACTGTATCCTCTCCATATTCTAGCTTATATCATAGAATATGCCCAGGCCACTCATGCTAGCTACTAGAGCTCTTCATGGTCACAGGTCAGAAAATCTCAGGGAGAAAGTCATGCAACTCTCTTATCATCTTTTTCCAAATGTAAACAGGAACATAACCAAAACCATTTGTAACTTACATGGAAGGATATCTCGATATCTGTTTTTTTCTCTGTTGCTTGGTTCCTTCCCAGAGTTGAACTCACCAGGCAGATTCTTAAGCTCTAAACCCTTTAAAAGGTTAAAAAATAAATAAATAAGTATAAAAATAAATAAATATATATATATATGTATGTATGTATAAGCCATATATACAGTGTAACAGCAAAAAAAATCTGCCTTTGTTTAGTATTTATGATCCTTAAACCCCCATATGATATGACCTCTTATTTAATAAGCAAAGAAATTAGAACCCCATTAAAAAGTGCTATATAAACTATTTCAAATTTCAGATACTAATTAATGAGGTGCTGGATAAGAAAATACTAAATTCTTTGGAGATGCTTTCTCCCCTAAACTTTATTATTTTTTTCATAAAAAGAGAAATGCAATATTCACTTATTAGGTCCTACCATAAATCCGTCACTTTATAAACAAAATAACAGCAGCAAAAACATATAAATAAGCAGTGGCTCAATTTACTCCTTTCTCTTGAAGCAATTATAGTTGGCACCCCAACTGAAGAATTTCCTTACAATTTTTAATTTTTGTTTTTACCAAGTGCAAACTCAACAAACATTCACTGAACATTTAATATGTAGCTGGGTGCTGTTATAGATACTGGAATATAATAACAAGCTGGAAAATGATCTCATCCCTAAGGGGAGAACACAGTAGTTTGAGGACTTATAATGAAAGCTCATGTGACCACTGTACAGAGATACGAATATAAACGACAGCACTAGACAGTGCCTGAAAATACATGAAGAGGTCCTAATAATAAAACATCACCTGAATGAGCCTTAGTGAGGCATCAGAAGTTAGCTAGCTGAAAGGTGCTATGTGTGTGAGGAAGGTGAATGGGTGTCATTCAAGGAGGAAGTCACAGAGGAACAGATACCCTCCTGGGGAAACAGGGAATAACGTGATAACAAAAATGCATGATTCAGCCCAGAGGTAAACTAAGAGTCCAAAGACCTGCTTCGTGCACAGAGTAAACTGGGGCTCTATTAGAATATTGTAGATCAATATTGAGAGGGTTCACATCTCCAAAGCTTTTTGATAACTCTTGCATACCAAACTTGTACCACTGGTCTTTAACTAAGTGCTAACAACCAATACCATGGGGAACATGATGTCTGTGAAGGTTTTAAGCAGTAGAATTATACAATTGGATTTGTACCTTCTTAATCTTTCTGAAAATTAATTCTGAAATTAGCTCAGAAATAAATCTGTAGGAACCTAGAAAAATTTCATTACAAGGGACCAGCAGTTAATGTAATGGCTATGTCACTGGACTCCCAAGTATTCGACCGCAGTTTAAGTCCCGAACCCAGTGGCTCAAACTCACACCAGGTGCATGTGCGTGCGTGCCCAAGATCCCGAGAGGAGAATGGAGGAGAGAAGACTACAGTATGGCCATCCTCCCCGGGAGGGGGGAGGGGGGTGTTTCTCGCTTTCAGTCTCTCTGTCTCTCTGTCTTTCTGGCAAGCACATGCACTCTATAGCGAAAAACCTCTTTAAAAAAAAATGAGGGAAACCTAGTTTTAAGTGTTAGACTACAAAGCTACACTAATTAGGAGTTGGCACCAGTATCTGAATAAACAAATCAAAATGAAAGGTCCAAGGATAAATTAAAATATATTTGTGACTTTAGTGTATGATAACAGTGGTATTTTCTATCATTAAAGAGAAGTTTCTGGAGAGTCTTAGGACACCAGACAGCTATATAATGCTAGATCTCTACCAAACATCTTTTACCGAATTAAATTCTAGCTGGATCAAAGATGGAAGCACTAAAAACAACAACAGTATGGAGTAGTTATGATGAACCTAGAGTGAAAGTAGCATTTCTAGGGACAGAAAATCCAAAGCCCTCAAAGTCTGCCATATTTGACCATTAAAATTAGCGATTTCCTTTTGGCAAATACGTATGTCTGTGTGTGCACATGCACATGCTCGTGTAGATGTGTATGTACCAAAAACAAAAGTGGAAAATCTTATATAACACACATAAAAAAGAAATAATCTCTTTATTTTATAAAGAATTGTAACCAATAAGGAAAAGAATTCATAGAAAATCGGGCAAAGAATCAGAACTAGCAGTTCACTGAAAGAAAAAACATGGAAACAAGTAAATGAACATGGAAAGATATTCCTTTGTTCTCAAATAAAGAAATGCCAACCCACAAGAAATCATTTGTTATTTAAGAGATGAGCAAAGAACCAAAAATTTAATAGCAAAAAACACTGACAGTATTTCTAGGAATTTATTTAAAAAATGCACATAGGCACAAGTACATGAAAAGGAATGACTACTGTTCATAATGGCAAAGACCAGTACAATCTGAACATCCAACACAGGGAATTATTAATATTTAAAGAAATGATAGTATGTGTTCACATAATTAACTACCATGCAACACTTAAAGAATGAGATTGGCATCAGCAGTTGGCGTCATGGCTATGCTGTTGGACTCCCATGTAGTCAACAGCAGTTTGAGTCCTAGACCCAGTGTCTTAAACTCAAGCTGGGCACATGTGCATGCATAGCCGAGATCCTGAGAGGAGAATGAAGAAGGGATTGCAGAGTGGCCGTCTTACTGGGGGGTGATTTCTCACTTTCTGTCTCTCTGTCTTTCTGGCAAGCGCACATGCCCTATAGTGAAAACCTCTCCAAAAAAAGAATGAGATATAGTTATATGTGCTGTAAATATATTTTTAATGTAGATAAGTCTTTTAAAAAGTGTAAGTTAGTGAGTAAAGTACATGTTAAAAATTTTTCTGGAAACTTACATGACAAAGTTAATAGGAGAAAGGGGCCATAGGATGTCTAGGGGAAGAGAGAGCAAGAGAGAAACTGTCTATGCACTTATTATGCTTTTATCCCATTTGACTTTTACCATACGCACCTATTACTTTAAAATATATATATATATATAATATTAATATAAAATAAAAACAATGTATTCAAGCCAAAAAGAAAAAAATAGGAAAAAAAACCTTCTGGTAATGATATAGAAAAAGAAATTGCATATAGATGTTTGTGAAGACCAAAATATTTACCATGAACTCCTGTATGATATCATATTGTGCTATTTTTTTCTTAATCATTTTCAAACAATTCTTGGTGGCTAATTGCTCATGAAAATTGAATGTTAATGGTCGAATATCAGCCAACTGAGCAAGCTCCCCTTCCGAAACAATTACTTGTATACCTAAGAAAGAGGAAAATTCACATTTGTAAGTTACTTGTGTATACATGAAGAGAGCTTTGATTTTTGTTGTCTCTTAAGCAAAGGCACAGTCATTTATAGGTCAATGGAATTTTATTTTTCCAGAGTTGAAGTGCTTATTAATTTAAAAGTGACTACACCTTTGTTTTTGAAAAATCATAGCTGTACCTTGATATTACACAAAATCCACTGTTCTTGGAGAAAACTATTTAGTGCTCTAATTATGACAAATTCAGTATATTGAGAAGTGTTCTTTTTTAAAAGAATTATTTATTTAATTTTGTTTATCATCATTATTTTTTTTTAATTTGCCATAGGGCACATGTACTCATGAGAGAAAGAGAGAAAGAGAGAGAGAGAGAGAGAACACAAGCAACCAGATCTAGGACCAAACAGTGGTTGGCTATGTGGGAGTCCAGCACCATTTCCACCATACCATGTGCCAGCCCTAAAGTGTTCTATTTTATAATGTAAACTGGTTATATGATTGACAATTATTCCAAGGCAAGAACGTATAAGACTTGGATAAGGAAAATGTGAGAGCTTTTATCCCATGGGACCAAGTACCTAGAAGTCCCTAGAGTCTGATTTAGGAGGATATAGAGTCCAACCCACATTTATTCTAAAACACATCAAACACACATATACACACATACACCCCAAGGATATAGCGGATCTATAAGATATAATTACTAAGACTGAGTAATAGACATATATGGACAAATAACCAATAATAAGAGGATATATTCTGTTTAATAGCACACATAGAATTATTTTTAATGATGATCTTTTAGGTCGATGGACTGCTTTCCAAAGTCTGCAGTATTACACATCATGTCCACTTGGCCAAAATGCAATAAATCTAGAAGTTAACAGTAAAGGAGTATTTTAAAAGTTTTGAAATTTTTAGGTGAAATGTTCAAGCAAATTCAGTTCTCAAAATCTCTTTCCAAAGCACAATAATATGAACATTAAAGTATTCAGACATGATTGTTCACATTAATTAATAGTATGAATATAAATACTAGCATTAATACCACCAAAAATATACAATTAACAATTAAACAAAGGAGACATAATTTTCTAAGAATACATGCAGCCTGAGAAGGTCACCTTGTCTTGGAACCCTATTATATCCAGAAGGTTTTATTGAATGAGTGGGGGCTGGGATAGACAGTTACAGAAATCCTGAAATTTCTCACACATAGCTCTAGCATTAGTATAAGAAGAGGTCTAAGCAGCCCAGAGAAAGTGATAAAAGCCCCCCAAGTGTAGAAGCCATTTTGATCACCTTCGATCCTCAACAGAAAAGCCTTTAGAGCTTCCAACCATGTTCTAGCTTTGCTGGAAAAAAGCTAGGAGAATGCAGAGAGGAGAGGACAGAAAAAGGAGAATGAATGTGAAAGATACTGTCGCAATTTTACCCTGATGCGTAGTTAAAACCATTTGTGATCATTCCACAATGTCCTTGCCAGTAATGATTCAGAAGCAGGCAAGTGATTAGGTTCAAGGGGAAGTAGGAGAAGTTTATTTGGGGATCATGGGAAAGTGACACAAGACTTTCTCTAATTCCCATCCCTCTGTTCTGAGATAAACAAAGTAGAACATGACCCTAATTATTACAGGCAGCCTTCTTATGACCATAAAAGGAAGCAGTCAATCATAGCAAATATAAAAAACATAAAGAACCTATGTTGTTAATGACATCACTGAGCCAGTGATCACATTGAACCTGGAATTTATCTTACCTGTGGACTTCCATTAGGGTGAAAAATATATTTCTTTATGATCAACATAATTTTAAATCTGTTTTATTTTTTTCTTGTAGCCTGGTCTAGAAATTCCAATAAGTGTACATATTGGAGCCATTTGGTGGTCTGGTGGTTGGGCTGGATCCCATTTAGCCAACTGTGTGGTTCAAGTCCCTGACCCAGTAGCTTGAAAGACACACCAGGAATGTGTGCCGTGTGCCCAGGGTCTTGGGAGGAGAAGGGACTGCAGTGTGGTCATCTCCCCTGGAGGGGTGCTGTCTCACTTTTCCTCCCTGCTCCCAGCAAGCACACTTGCCCTGTGAGAAACTGAAGGGAAAAAAATTGTATAGCTCGAGCTTTGGATGTAGATAGTGACAATCATTTCAGTCAGATTACTGAAAGCTATTTAATCTACTATCTGATGATGGTATCATCGTTGAGAAGGCTTGAAGAACAAGTGTTTACCCATTATGACTTAAGAACACCACCATGGAATAACTGATCAACGGAAGAGCTGCTTTTGCTACACGAGGAAGCGGGAGACCATTGCTCTTGCCACTAGCTCCTAGACCATACCAAAGAATTAGAATGTAACCAACTGAAACACTACAATTGTTGCTAGTGATATACCAGCTGAGCCATGAGGA